TTGATATCCTATCAGTCACTGGAGGGATGGTTACCTATCTATTTTCACAAGCGAAGACTCCTCTGTTCCAAGCCGCGGGTGCCTGGATCACGTCTTGCTTCGTTCTGACATTCCTGTGAGTCGCTCATCGAATCCTTGGTATCTTTACTGATCCCTGAGACTGTTTCTAGTTGTAACCTTTTCTCAACTTGTTTGTACCCTGTCTACTGGTCCTACAACTTCACTAACATAACAATACTAGCCCTTATTGCATTCAAAATCTTCAACTCTAATAAATTAATGGGACGCGCCCAAATTGACTCTGCAGGGATGACCGTAAGGATTACGCCAACTAAGCACTGCACTATTTTTGATGAGAATCTTTTCAGAAAATTATGGAAATTCTGGTTGAGAGCGCCGTCTTGTATAGGTAAGTCAGCACGTCCTAAAAAGGGTTTCCACAATCAAAACTTAATCGTTTAGCGTGTGCGTGATTCTCGCATTGGGGACATATGTTTCCAATTCGAATGTTCAATTCGTCATCGTAGCCATTGTGAGTGATTCTACTACTCGACCCGGCGATCGTGTCTCAACCTTCTCCCCGCTAGAACGGCCCCATAATTGTGAGCTTCTATCACAGCCCTACAGTTACGAGCCCCCGACTTAATCTCATCTAGGGGGTAATCTTTTGCATGATTGTGGCCCGTGCCCATCGCTCTGTTAACAACACTTCGCACGTATCCACTAATGGGAGATCACGAATGGCAGGTGGCAGCCACCCCCTTCGACCCATGGCAGTCAAGATTACCACACAAATCGAGGGAGATATAGATAAGGGTGCTGATTTCGGCACACCTCCCTCATCGCCCCGCGTTTATCCGATGAACCTTCACTCATCGTCCCGCGATACTCATACACTACGTGAGGATGTTTAATCGAAAAGCGGGGAGTAAGGAATTTCCTCTGTATACATTAGATGTGCATACTGTTACATGGAAGTGGACTTGTTGTTCTATTAATACTGGTGTATGCTTATCGTTACCCCAGGCCAAAGCCTTTCAAACTCTGCGGTTGGGCGGCATAAATTGTAAAATCTCAGCGAACGAGTGCTCCCTCGGGCCTGTCAACTCCATCTATGACCTCGTCTTGTTAGTGAGGCAATGCCGGTAGCGCATCGGCTTATCATTCTCAAGGTAGGAACGGATCGAATGCGCCACTCTATTTTAACTGTCAATGGTTGGGATAAGGTGGAACGGATCCGGTTGACGAGGAATTATCGGAGTGCCTACACTACCCGAGTTGACCGATCCGTGAAAATAGGTACATTCCGCGGGGTGGGTGTAAATGGGCTGTTGGCTTGGGAGGTCAGATGATTTGCACTCAATCATGGAGTAAAATTTAGCTCACCACCGGGTTGATAGTGCCCGTCGTACTAACCTTTAGTGGACGAAAGTGTCTTTTACGTTTGATCTAAATGAATGTCAAAATCTCATCCGACATCGCTTCCCCACTCCCTCGAAGCTGCCCGTGTGGAGAGGATCATGCAATCCTGATGCTTTCCGACCCTGGGATTCAGCCTCGTTATGGGGTCCAACATGGTGATGGAGTCACCATTGTTTCCGAGCTATCTGCTTAGCAAGTGGCGAACAAGACAGGTATTAAGAACGTTTTGAGGTGGAAATTTCCGACAAAGGTCGTCCCTAACGTGTTTCAAACAAGAGGACAAAAAGAAAGAGTCACCACTGTCAGGAACTTCATGCATCTGCATTTCGATCTATGAGTTAAGGAATTGGCCGTATTCATATTAAGAGGGAGCACTCAAATAACTACAACGGATCTCAGCATGGAGCTCCGAGCGACGAGTCAGCGTCTAATAAGATACCATATATATTCATTATGTGCGAAATGACGGATTACTCAGACAAAAGGATTGCAGGGCCATCCACTAAAGCTGTCGTTCAAGCTCCAACCGGCGGTCATCACAAGAAATCCCACATTTTGCGTTTGGCCGGCGGGAAAGTTAAACAACATGGCCGCGGATTGTATTGTCAGTGTCGGATTTGCCACAATTCAATACAATAAGGGCATCCCACCAATGAACGCCCCTTTTCAAATTTCTGGCTGTTTGCGAGGAATCGGGCTCAGTCCCGCCAGGAGTGCGCTGATTAGTATGGACGGTGCCGAACCGTGGCGGGCGATTAGTCGGTGGCATTTGCGTGTAAAAATATCGGAGGATTCGACATGAAACAGCCTGAGATTCAATATTTCGACGGATGCTGGCGATGCGAGTTCCTTTGGGGCGTATACCCGACAATATTGGTCGATCTTGAGTGAAAATTAGCGTGCGTAGAACGCTGCAATTGATTCCGGCCCTGGGAGAATCGCGCGGCGGCCATGTGGTCAACGGAGGTGCTTGGAACTGTTCAAGTCTCTCGGTATTTGACTTCGAGCATGCGTACTTGAACAAGATGGCTGCACAAATCAGAAAGAACAATTAAAATGAATTTATTAGGGAGAAAAGGCCTTGTTTTACGTAAGCAGGATGTTGATGGGATCCAATTTGGTAACGAGTCAACAAGGCTGCATAATTTGGACCCACGCCTCTCAGGCTGTCGCTGGCTTTTCCTTGCACACACGGAAATGCTCACAAATATCGATAGTAGAGTCAGTCTTGATTTTATCAAATGGCAGAACCTAATCTGACGCCGCGTCCCGGTGCCCTCGCACAGCCGCTTCAGATTTTCCAGGTTTCATCTTGTGCAAACCCATTTCGTTCGGGATTCCAAGTTCAGCACGTGTAAATCGAAGCTTTTTTACAACGTATGAGAAGGACCCAGAACATATGCAAGCGCGATTCAGGGGGAAATATAAGCATCAGTTTCTCCATTCAGTAATCTCTATAGTGCTCCGATTCGCCATTCGCCCCAGCTAATTTCACTTTTATGCCAGAAACAAGGATGGACAAGAGTTATTTGTCGTCATTGTCAAGGGTCAATGGCTTTTTTTCCCTGTTGTTTGACTTTGGGTGGCCCCATAACTCACCCACTTCTGCCGTTGTGTCCTCAGCTCGGATTTCAACAACCCAGCCAGGTCTGCCCAGGATCGCAGCAATAGGCTCCGGTTCCGGCCATAGAGTTCTAAAAATCCGATTGATCTCACTATCGAGATCTGCGCATTTCGGATGAGATCACTTCCACCCCCCTACCTCTTTACTTGTAGAGTTTGGTACCGGCACGCGTGGCCATGTTTCAACATATAAAGACCACTGTACATTCCTCACCACATCCAACAATCTCTCCCCCCCATTTTTCCACATCTCCTCTTCTGACTCACAACAGCAATGGGACGCAACGACAACACCGAGACGACTCTCTTGCTCTCTCACAAGACACCCTCGATACCTAGCCCAAAATTCCCCCTCGGCTTGGTCTCTGAATCTGTCCGTCCATATCTTGAACTTATTCGACTAGAGAAGGTGCACCCTCTACTCTGTACGATTGAAACCTTGCTAACGTTCCCTTCGTAGCCGACCGGAACCATTCTTATGTTTTGGCCGTTCGGTACGTCATCAGGGTCAAAAATACTGCCCGACAATGCTGAGTTGTACTTTAGCATGGGGCCTTACGATGGCAGCCTTAAAGACCAACCTCCCCCTTTCACGATATACTGAAGACCTAGGCAAATGTTTCGTTGGCGCGTTCGTACTACGCAGCTCAGCGTGTACGATCAACGACATATTCGATAGGAAGATGGATGCTGGTGTCGGTTAGTCCTTTCGTTCCCGCCCTCTTTCACGCGACTAATAGCATCCGTGTAGAACGGACAAAAAACAGGCCCCTTGCCAGTGGTCGAGTATCCGTGTTTCGCGCTACTGCATACCTGATGTTCCAATATCTTATGGGAATTATATTTTTTTATCTCACGGTTCACGATCTCGCGTGGGTGACCCTCTCTCAATATTCCGCCGTCTATTAATGAGGTTTATATTTAGACTTTGGGTTGCCTTGTTCCAGCTTCTTCCCCTGTATGTCGGTTTCCCTGAACGAATTTTTTTCTCATTCCCTAATATTTACATCCAGTTTCGCCATATATCCCCTGCTAAAGCGGATCACATATTGGCCCCAGGCTTGGCTCGGCTTTGCCATGAATTTCGGGTTTATCACGGCTTGGGTCGCTGTTACTGGTAGTCTCGACACCCCTTTGCTCTCAGCGGCGATGGCCGGTTGTTGGTGGTACGCATCCCATTGATACACCCCTTACTTCCTCGAGACTGACTGTATGTACCCCTATCAGCTGGACAATGTTGTATGGTAATGCTTTCCCCGCGGATTAAAAGACTTCATCTTACGTTCTTATCCTTAGACACTATTTATGCTTGTCAAGATATCAAAGACGACGTCAAAATGGGGGTCAACTCCACAGCAATCCTTTGGGGATCATGGATACGCCCCCTTCTCGTATTATGTGCGATTACCTTTGTCGCCATGCTCGCCATTGCTGGCCACTTGAATGGACAAGGGCCAGCATATTTCCTTGTGTCTGTTGGAGGCACCGCAGTACACCTGCTATGGCAGTTTGCCACAGTGGATCTTGAAGTTCCCGAAAGCTGTTGGAGTGGGTCCATTGATGCTTCCTTTTGGGACTATGACTTACTGTTGACATAGGAAACTTCAATAGAAACGGTCACCTCGGCTGGGTCGTCTGGGGAGGTTTGATGATTGACTATGTTTTGGCTATGGGCTACATCGAAGCGTAATTTCCCTGTTTCTCTCCCATACTCCTGTTTCCTTTAGACTGGGAGGTGTAGATATTTTTCGTTCTTACCGTCGCGAGATTGTTCTTCGTTCGCTCGCACCTTTTTAGACTCCCCCACCCTAACTACAACTTATGATCTTCTACTTAGTTTAAATTACAAAATAGTACCTAACATGGAATCCAAAGATTATACTTAACAGAGTGGCTACCTGTTTTTTTTACTATGCCGTGTGAACATAGCACCCCTATCACAGGATAGGAAAAAGTGGACACTGTGGGAATTGAACCCACGACCTCACGCAAGCAGTAAATGCGAAGCGTGCGCGCTACCCCTGTGCCAAGAGCCCATATATTTTCGTCCCCTTATTCCGTCACTCAATATTGGCCGCTGTTTCAGATAAATTTTCGAAACACCCAAGTCATTTTCCTCAGAAACGGATTTACCTCAGGTTAACTACGGTTCAGCGATGGATTCAGATCAACGGCCATCAATCACTGCTATGCATTCTATACAATCATGCCGGCGGGTTACATTTGTATAGAACCGTTAATCAAGGGCCCTAGAAAATGATCGTGGCGCGATCGAAAGTATATATTCACGAAAAGAAAATGTATATCCCCTGAGGGTTGTCGAGGATCGGGTTCATTTCCTGATCCCCACTAATCACCCGCCGGATCTGCTAGACGGTACTACGGTAGTTGGTCCACACCCCTGCTGGTGGCAAAGTTTATTGGTACACATCACAAAGTTTTTATTTTTCATGGAACGAGGGGGAGCTCGTAGGGACCATGATGTCGCTGGGAGCGGAGGTCTAACGATCTTACCAATCATTGGGCCCTGGGGTTCGAATTCTCCTGTCGAAGTGATTGAGTTGCAGCGGCCTGAGTCGATGTTTAGTTGTGTGGGGTTCAAAAGGGGGGATGTCAACTGAAGATCACCCAAGTTCTGTGCGGGTGAAAGATTGATGCTCAAGGCATCATCGGATGAACGACAGTCTGGCCCGGATTCCCCAATAGGTCTGGATCCCGAAGCATGGGTGGGTCCATTTTCTATCCGAGCGGAACTTGCGGATAACGCAAACTTTAGTTCTAGGGCCCATTCATCGACCTTTTCGAAAATTGTCCTTTCTAGAGCTGGGCATGCAGCGCCACACGGTCGCCGAAAACTAGAGGTCGTTGGAGACAGAGTAAACCCCCGAGCTCCGTACTTTATCACGTAGTTCTGCCCCTTGGGGTCCTTCTGTAGAACAGCGTGATCGGCTGGTGGATCATACTCCTCTAGGGTACTCGCCTCACGGTATTGCAAGACACCTTCACGTCTCAAGGTCAAGGCTGGATATAGAACGACCAGCGATTCTGGGGTGAGGTAATTCATTACAAGAGTTGAATGGAACTGCAAGATAGAAGGGAGGAAAGATAATTGTGAAGATTCGATCACATCAACGAAAGTGCTTGCCCCCTTGCACAATTTAAATACGCGGTAGATGTTTGACCCAGGCATTTCGTAATGTGGTTTGTCCGGGCGGGGTATTCGTATGTTGTGACGAGCAGTGACGAAACCTAAATCTTCCTCATGAATATTACCCCTTGGTAGGGCGACCATGTGAGGCCTGAAAGAAAAGTTACGCGAGCCATCAGAAATCATGCGATAACCTGCATGGTCTGTCAACCATTTGGCAACTGTGTACCCTGTCCCGAAGGGTGCATAAACATCGAAATCTCCCGGTTTCCAATGAGTATCACGAAGCAAAAAGTGTAACGCCGTAGAGCCCGAGATAACTGCCCGTGTGTCGAGAAGAAGTGTTTTAAATCCAACAATACTTGCTTTTGGCACCCGGGAAGCCAACAGATTATCAAAGGAGTAACGAAGGTGTGTCTCGAGCTTGGGCATCAAACTCGAGTGTGTTCTTGAGAGTGCGATGACGGATGAGATGGGAACATGCGACGCAATGCGATCGAAGAAAGCGGAAAAGATGTATAATGGTAGAAATACGTGGTTGGGTAGCCGGTTTGGGCCCTCTTTTACAAGAGAATATCGATGGGCTGGCATTTGCATTCGTACTGGAACTGTAAGATTTGGTTGGATTAGTCAAATCTGAAAGAGAACTCAAGCAGAAGTACCTGGGTAGGGCCTTAAAACCCCTATACCCATGGATCTGGCGCAATGGTGGCACGATAATGGGAACTACAAGTTCGAACATGGGCGTTTTGGGAAAGTTTGACGGATATTACCGTGACTAGTTGGGTCAGGTGATTACCGATATTACGTCACGTGACCCAAATTGTGTCAACAACACCAAGCTCGCGTTCTCTTTACATAAGCCCTGACTCTGACTGGTTCATTTTTAAATTTTGCAAAGTTTTTAACGCAAATATCGACAATTGCAAGTTACACATTACATCTAACATGAACTCTACACGCTTCGAAGATCAAAAATATCAATCCACCTTGCCCTGTAAGCCTTGGTACGACGATGGGAATATTATCCTACAAACAGAAGGCGGCACGGCCTTTCGAGTCCATCAAAGCACCCTCACGGAAAGCTCTATAGCCCTTGACGGAATGATAAAAGAATTAGATTCCACGAAAGCTCCCTTATTCAACGGATGCCCAATTCTCTACCTACAAGAGTCCTCGCTGCTTGTGAGAGACGTTATCGAAGCTTGTTATAGTCGAAGGTAAGTTAAAACTTTGCCTTACCTGATACTAATTCGAGTCCTCCCAGCTTATCTCCCCGGTTGAAACCACCTACCTTTGACGTCGTCGCGGTGATGCTTCACTTGGGAAAGAAGTATGGATACGACACTTAACCGAAGAAGCAACGTCTCGCCTCCGTGCCGAATTCCCTTCTAAACTAAACACCTTCGACGCAAGTGATAGCTGGACTCATGTCGAAGGTCCCGAAGATCCTGATAATGCTGGCCTGCTGCTTCTGAAGTGTGCAAATCTTGCTCGCGAACACGCACTGCTGGACCTCTTGCCCTCGCTTCTTGTTTACCTCCTCGATGTCAATATCGAAAACATTATCAAAGGTCTTCCAGGTTCAGACGGCTCGCGTGCCTTTTTAACTCACGAGAACCAACACTCGTGAATACTCGGCTTTGAGGGCCTACGAAATGCCCAGTACGAGGAGACTTTTGATCATCTTCAACACATACCATATCCAGAATGTTCGTCTCCGATTTCTTGCTCTAAATTCAAAGAGACACAGATCAGTGAATTTATTGCCCCTCCAACGACTTTATCTCCGATTACACCATGGGACAAATCTTGGGATGTTCAGCTCTGTCCCGAATGCCAAAAAATATCAAAAAAATCTCATTCAATGGGGCGCCGCCGTGTCTGGGCTAGTTTACCCTCTTTCTTCGATCTTCCACCCTAGGACGAACTTGAGGCAAACATGTAAGTGTCTCAATGACCAACTCATTCGACCACTAAACTTATAAGGCCACTCCCTATCTTTATAAGGTAATATCTGGTAACTCACTTGCTTATGCGTTTTTTTGGTCCTTTATCCCTTGAAGACTCTAGAATCAGTATCCAACCACACAATCACCCCTGCGGTACTTATGGTCTATCCCCAGCTTCCCCCCCAAGAGGTTGTTCACACCCGACCTCTGTACACCAATACCTATCTTGTATGCGCGCATTTTTGGTGAAAAGTCAGTTGGGAATATTCGAGTCTCAACCTATCTGCTCAGGATCGTTCGGCTTGTGGTCTCCTTTGACAGTACTGAATGTATAGTTTTGTTTCGGTTCATGTTCCGTTCTCCATTTACAGCTCATGACTGTGACTACCACGTGCCCAAACTCATTACTAACCATCTGGATAAGACCCCGAATGTTCCAGCATACCCTAATCTCTTCTGGAACCGCCCCTCAAAACTCGGGCCTGACTCATTGGTGAGCTCCCATTTCACTAAGCGAAATGGCACGGTACACAACAACGGAAACCTTGCCGCTTGTTGTATAACTATTACTGACTCATCACCTTTGCGTGATGTTGCCGTTACGCATCTACAGTAATTCCTAATTACCATCCGCATCGCTAGCCGGAGGTCTCGCGAAAACCCATATAAACTCGTCAATTGACTTGAGAGTGGTTACTAATCACCTAGAAGCTTCTAAGCCTACACCTATCTAACAACGATTCGTATCGAAACCATGACTAACTCACGACCAAGTCAAATGAAGGCCGTCGTGACGACTGGCGATGGAAAATCCACATTGAAATACAACGTTCCAGTGCCGACGCCAGGCTCTGGACAGGTCCTTATCAAGGTTATCGCCGCCGCACAGAATCCTTCAGAGTGTGAGTAACTGCTTGCTGATACCAGCATCGAGATGAATGGACAAGTTCCACCGATAGGGATGATGCTTTCCCGTTATCCTACTACGGATATTGTGGTAGGCTACGACTTTTCAGGAATAGTCGAAGATATCGGACCTGAAGTTCCTGCCGGCCTTAGAAAGATTGGCGAACGCGTCGCTGGATTTGTCGCGGCAGGTACGGTTGATTTCGGGCAATTACTAGCACCAGGCACTCAACTTAATGTTGCCAAAGCTGTAACTGAAGGTGGAAGTTTTGCTGAATACTGCTTGGCGGACGCGCAGGTCTTGATTCCGATACCTGAGGATCTTAGTTACGAAGAGGCATCAGGTGTTAGTATGGCAGGATTGACCGCATGTCAGGCCCTGTGGCAAAACCAAAACCTACCAACACCGTTAAAACCAATCTCACAGCCGTTCCCGGTACGACTGTGCCGCTTTCTTCATATGTGGCGTTAATCCACTGTTCTGATCCTAGATTCTGATATGGGGAGGGGCCACCGCTGTTGGTCAATTTGCCATACAATTGGCTAAACTTTCTGGCTTACAGGTCATTACCACCGCGTCCCCAAAAAACCACGAACTACTCAGGTCTCTTGGTGCTGATGCAGTTTTTGACTACAGAGATCCGGCAGTTGCGGCGAAAATCGTCGAGTACACAGGAAATAAGCTTGCTCATGCGGTTGATTGTATTTCTCAAGGGGATAGCCCGACACTTGTTTCTGCTAGCATGGGGAAGAATGGGGGCTATGTTGCGCTGGTGCTTAAAGCAGATATACCGCGTGCTGACGTAAAGGGTGAATTTGCCCTGGTGATGACGCTCTTCGGAAAGGTACTTTCCGTTTCCTTCCAGCTTGAAATCATTTAAAATCGCCGATATTGGATTCAAGGCGTTCGAAATCCCCATGCAATATCCAGCTATCCCTGAACATTACGAACTGGGGAAAAAATTCGCCTCTATTATGAGTCAACTCCTCTTTGAAGGAAAACTCAAATCTACTCCGGTGAAATTGATCC